ATATATATATATAAATGATGTGATATGTATGTATTATTTATGTATGAGGTATACATAATAAGAATAATAAATTCATATTTACACATGTGTTTTTCATACCAAAAGGGTACAGCAGTCCCTTGAATCTAGAATTGTTTCTTACACTAGCCATGGGCCAGTTGATTGTTGCATTGCCAAATTCTGTCTCCTTTGATATGTATTTGGATAGGGTTCAAAATAGAAACAAGGATTCTGTGTCTGTGTTTTTTCCATTCTTTACTTTGGGTGCTCTGATGGGTCTCTTTTTAAAGAGATGTGTTTGATCCTAACAGAGTGATATGTGTGGGCTAGTAGTCATCTACCCTATCTGGGCCAATAGCAGTTGCTGTAATGCCATTAAAATTGCCAGGGACAAGCCTGGGTATTTCATAAACGTCCACTTTAACCCTCGAATGACTCATGCAGAATAGAGAGTCAACATATCTTATTTGCCTAAAAATTTTTGCCTCATATGAACCAGGCCACTGGTTTCTTTAAGGTGAAAATGCCCAAGTACTTGTCTTGAGTATCAGAAAACACTGATTTTGAATAGGTCTCACATTTTAAGTAATCAGAGCAGTTTATATTATATCATTTAAACCAAGCTTTCTCTCACTTCACTTTAAATCCATTTTCCCCAAATACCTAAACACCAAAATATGATTAAAATGAGAAAAGAGAGGTATTAGATTTTTGTCTAATGAATTGTCAGTTTTTACTCTTGCTGTATAGATTTTCATTGCAGATGTTACATTATTGAATGTTTTGAATTCAGAGTATCACTCATTTGTTATTTTAAACATAACTATAAAAGATGAAGATAAAGGAACAGAGGCACTTTAGAATGGAAACCGTACAGTGCCCAACCCCCAGAATCAGTGCTCAGCATCATTTTACATCATCCTTAGCTCAGTTTGAACTTCTCTTTTGTCTATAGTGATTTTTTTTCTTCGATGTCTCTAGTAGTGCTGCTCAAATATACCTTTGTAAAACGCATTCTGAACATTTCATTGCAGTTCTTGGAGAAGCCGAGTATCTCCTTTTGGGAGAGCCAGGACATGTAGCGCTAAGCAACACCACAGTGTCTGTGGATTTCCAGTTTTTTGATAGTGCTAATGGGACGCTGAGGAATGTATCTGTGCTGCTCTTGGAGGCCAATACCAATCAGACTGTGACCACTAAATACCTCCAGACCAACAAGTCCCAGGGGACACTCGAGTTTGAGTGCTTCTACTTCAAGGAGGCTGGTGACTACTGGTTCATGATGACTCCAGAAGGGACAGACAGCAGCACTCCAGTCCCCTGGTGGGAGAAAGGTGCCCTTCTGAAGGTGGAATGGCCCGTCTTTCGCGTTGACCTCAATAGGACATCCAAGACAGCAGAAGGCACCTTCCAAGTGGGCCTTTTCACCAGTCAGCCACTGTGTCCGTTCCCTGTGGACAAGCCTGACATCTTGGTGGATGTCATCTTCACCAACAGTCTTCCTGAGGCAGGAACAAGTCAGGGACAGCCACTGGAGATAAGAAGCAGCAAGAGGACAGAACTCTCTCAAGGTCAGTGGGTTGAGTTTGGCTGTGCGCCTGTGGGGCCAGAAGCTTATGTCACTGTGGTGCTGAAGCTGCTCGGCCGAGATTCAGTCATCACCTCCACAGGACCTGTCGACCTGGCCCAGAGATTTGGATACAAATTGGTGATGGTGCCAGAACTCACATGTGAGTCTGGGGTCGAAGTGATGGTGCTGCCCCCACCATGCACCTTCGTTCAAGGGGCGATTGCCGTCTTCAAGGAGGCCCCTAGACGCCCTGGGGAAAGGACCATTCGGCTGGCTGAAAACAGCTTGACCTTGGGACAGAGGAGAACAGTATTCAACTGCACTTTGTTTGACATGGGGAGGAATAAATATTGCTTTGACTTCGGCATTAAAAGCAGAAGCCAGTTTTCTGCAAAGGAGCAGGAGTGCATGCTAATTCAGAGAAATATAGGTTGGTATTGAGGTTTAAATTTTTTAAAACTCAAATCAACACCTTTATGCAGTCAAAATTATTATTTTGAATTTAGATGAACTTAATTTTCTATGAACTATACCTTCATTTTTATGGTTCACTTCTCACGAAGTCCCAAATGGCATTGTCATCCTTATCTGAGAAATGAAGAGTACTGGTAAGCATACATGGCTCACTGCCAACTTAACCTATGTCTCAGTTTCCCCATCAGTAAAACAGGGATAATAAGAGTATCTACCTCAGAGATTTATGAGACTTGAATGAAATAAATGTGTACAGTTCTTAGCATAATGCCTGGCATATGGGAAGCACCAATAAACATTAGCTATTATTGCATCATATGGCAAGACCATGGCAGGTAAGACCAGAATTCAAAGCTAAATCCCAAGCCGTATTTAGTAACTTCTGGCTTGCTCTAGCTGAGCATGTCTCTTTACTCTCACATCCTTCAATATAAGAATGAAGCCTCTTTAGTGAGATTTCAGAGCAAGATTTCTAAAAACTTTAAATTCTTTGCATAATGCCCTGTCTAATCACAAAGAAGTGGGTTATTACAATTCGAATCATGCCCATGCCCTTATTTGCATTTCTTTCCCTTTTCCTGAGTGCAAGCCTGATCTTGGCAAGAGGTTAAGCTGGCAGAGACTGTGTGCTACACTTACATGCTTCTTCTGTCTTCATCCCCACCAAGCCTATGCCCCTTGACGGCCCAAACCTCCAACCACCTCTGTAACTCCAAGTGTTTCTTGCTCCATATTCACCCCCTTTTTCTCCTTTGAAGAAATCCCTTTCCTTTGTCTCCCTGCCCACTGGCCACTTCCCTCCTCACACTTACCTCTCTATGCAGCCTGGATTCTTGGTCCATCCCATCAATCACTCTCCTACCAATACCCTAAACGCTGCCCTGTTGTCCTTCCAGTGCACCTGCCAGGTCACACCCCAGCTCTGCATGGGTCCAGCCATCTGCTGGCCACCCGCTGTACCCAAGCTGCACGAGAAGGTAACACCAGTCAGGCTGAGGCTGGTGTGGGTGGGTCATGCCTCCATCCGCAGCTTGGCCCACCATGCTACCCAGCAAGGCGCTCTGGCCGGCTCTGCTTCTGTCCTCCACAACCACTCTTCCCACCTCCTCCGCTCTCTTCCCTCGCATCTCACCTCTGCCCCTTGGTTAACTCTGAGCTGAATTTGCCTCCTACCACACCAAGCAGCTGGGAGCCATCAGGAGCAAGCTCCCTCACCCTCTCACCAAATCTCTGTAAGCCTATAGGCATCCGTCCCATCCTCTTCACCTCCTTTGCTGTCACTGAGGAAGAAGTGTCATTCCTCCAGGACAAAGTCAACTCTCCCCTCCACTGTGGTGCCCAGCCTCTCTCCCCATTTCAGGAACCTTCTATTTAATCATTATGTCCTCTCTCTCCTCTGTCTCTGTCCTTTCTTTGCTGGCTCATTCTCATCAGCTTTGAAATGTACTTAACTCTCTTATCTAAAAGCAAACAAAATCACCCCTCATCTCCTGGTTCTTCCTGAGAAATCCTTTTAAGCTCTTCTTCGTTTTATAGCCCAGGTTCTTGAAAAAGTCACCTATACTTTGGGGTGCATTTCCTTGCCTCACGTTCACTTTTCAACTCACTCCAAACTCACACCCCTCCTCTGAAAATGCTCTCACGAAAGCAGACAGTGGGTGAATTTTAGGTCCCCAAATCCCCAGAAGCTTTTCAGTCCATCTCTCCATTGACCTTGAGTCTGTGACATCACACTTGCCTTGTTTACCTCCTACTTCCCCGCTGTTCCCTCATGGTCTCCTTTGCCTGCTGGTTCCCCCACCTCACCACATCCCCTAAGTGTTAGACTTCTGCTTCTTGTACTAGAGTGTCTACATTTTCTACTCTTGACACACATGCTGGGTGATTACTGTGCTGATGCTGGTGACTCCAGATTGGCATCTCTCCCAACATATCCAAGCGCTGCTAACTAGCTGTCACCCCTCAGATGTCTCTCAGGCACCTCAGAAGCAACATACCTGCAATTGTACTCATCATCCTACCCACCAAACCTGCTCTTCAGCGTAGGACTCCACCATCCATCATTGTTCAAGACAAAAACCAAGGAGTCTTCCTCTTCATAACCTATAAGTAATTCACTAAGTCCTGTGGATTTTGTCCCCTCAAAAAACATCTCCGAATGTCCGAATCTCTCCACATCTCCCCAGTTCCACTGACACCACCGGTTTAAGCCTCTGTCTTCTCTTATCTGGAATCTTGCAATAGATTCCTAATTGATTTTCCCCTCCACTTCATTCTCTCAATGTAGCCAGAGGGATTATTTAAAATTCAAGTCAGCTGAGGCTGTTCCCCTGCTTAAAGCCTGTCAGTCACGTCGCTTGACAGGAGGAGGAGAGTTCACAGGGCCCTCCATAGCACTCACCCCGCAGTCACTGTGGGACATCCTCCTCCCACCTTCACCTGTTAACATTAACCCGTTTCCTAAGTCTCCATTTGGGTACTCTTCCTTGACCCAGACTAGTTAAATTGCCTTGCCATAAGCTGGCACAGCTTAGTTGTTATCCTCATTTCTCCTTTCATGGCATTTATCACTTCTGTCATTGTTCGTTCAATGTCTGTCTTCTAACACCGTCACCCCCACCATCATCTCCCCTCTCCCAGACTGGGGAAGCAAAAACCAACCTGTGCAGCCATGAAGCTGTTTATGATCTTTATTTGGCCCACTCAGAATGCCTGGCATATTAACAGTACTCAATACATGTTTATTAAAGTGAAAATTGAACTCAGATATGGCTAATCTCAGCTAAGTATTAGTAGAAAAACAATTATATTGAACTAATCATTCAAGATGTACTTGCCTTTTCAAAAGAAGTTGCTTGTTAAAAGAAAAAGAATTCTAATTGAATTTAGTGGAAACAAACCAAGGGGAGTAAAGACATTTAGGCCATTTGATGAACAGACTTTGGAAGCAGGAAGCCTACCTGTTGGTTCTCCCAGCTCCTGGGCTTTCTCCAGGTTCTTCCACTCAGTGTGTAAAGACTGGGTTTTTTTTCCCACAGCAGTAGGAGAAGACGCTGGAAAGGGGCAGAACAGGGAGTGGTTCTCTGTGTGGCCAGGCTGAGGGTGGTCAGGGGCTCCCTGTGGGGTCGCAGCTACCAGACACAACCCAGCAGCAAGACTGGAAGCACTACCTGGAGGGGCTCAGTGCTCCTGGGGACCCCACATTCTCTGTGTGGCTGCCCAACAGTCTCTCTGACTCGGGCTGATGAAATTTATGCTAGCGATAGGAACCTCGGTGACTTCCTGAGTTTTTAGTATAAAAATTTATGACTGAATCAAGTTCTCTTCTTTTAATTTTCCATTTAAATTGATAGCTCTCACCTGTAAAGACTGTCTTTTTCTTTGCAAAATGGCATCATTCAAGGACCCCATGGACTCTACCATGAGCCACCGACTTGACTCCACTGAATTTCTTATTCTTTTTGAAAATGGAATAATGTTCTTGATATGTTTGTCTGTTTTCTCAAATGTGTGTTAGGACCTTAAGCTAGTATGTAAATAACAATTTACAGCAAATACATAATACATGTTACCAAAAATGATTATTTACGATCTTCATTTATCCTACTTAGTGTGAATGTTTATAATTTTCTCTACAGAAATGTTAATGTGATTGATTATGGGATGCTGCCCGAGATCCTCCTAAAGGAGTGTTAGTAATATATGACACAGGCTCTGTAATAACTTACAAAAATCTAAATTGAGAAATTCTGTATTCTGAACACATCCGCCCCAAGGGTTTCAGCCAGTGAGTATGGAGCCTGTATCTCAAAGCACAAAAAAAAGTATCTAGGGTAAAGTTGAGAATTAATAATAGAGGTTATAAATTCATATTCACATAGATTTTGGGGGAGGCAAATAAAAATCATATATAGTTAACACATAGTTTACTTGATAATTTAAAATTTTGTGGCCATCTTCTTGTTTTTCTGATTAGTTGGTCTTGTTTTCCTTCATAGTGACTGAACAAGAGCTTTTTACCAATAATAGGTATACTGTCACCTATGTCATTTTGTTTTTATTTGCTGGTGCTTGCAGTAATAGCATTGTCTTTGTTTTCTGGAATCTTTTTAAGCCACTTGTCCACCTTATGAAGTTACTTTACCTAAAACTAGAAAATGTAATTTAAAAAGTTCATAAGCACACTCTTGGGTGCTTTCTTACTCCACAGTTCTCTGAAAGTGGACAAACCAGTAAACCTTTCCACCTAGTGGAACTTCTGCTCTTCCTTCGGGATTCTTTTAGGGCATCTGACATGCTGTATGTGACCATCAGATGGAATAAAGCACACATTTACATAGTGGTTACTTTGCTCAGGCACTGCTCTGAGTGCTTTATGAAGAGTAACCCATTTAATTTATTGTCAATTTTTATAGGTGAAGACATAGAGGCACAGAAAAGTTAAATAACTTGCCTAAGGTCATTGGTGGCTAAGCGGCTTCACCACCACTGGTGGTTAGGCTGTCGTGAGACTTTGCTTTTACCACTATACTATACTGCCTCCCATACAACCACCCGTCAATCAACATATTTAATGATATAAAGCTCTTAGACTGAAAAAAAGTTCTGATAGTTTCCTCTTCATCACACTGGTTCATTTTGTGCTGCCCACTTCTCTTAATAGACATGTAACTCCCTTTGGAGTCCACTGGGCCAGGCATGAGCAGCTAGTCCAATTCAAATGAGCCTTGTTCTCTGGACAGAAAGTCTGAAGTGCTTATCCAGGTGCCTTTGCTCCCACTATTGCTTCTAGCTCCTCATTCATATCTATAGAATTTTATTATAACCATGTTTTGTTTAGTTACCTAAGTCTCTTGAGCAAAATGTCTTGCAGAGGTGAACCTTTCATAGGCTGTACTCCTTCAGATAGTCTTAGGGAGTGGAAACAAATCTCCCTTTCCCTATACCAGACAAATT